TCTTCTGAAAGAAGGGAGCCTCATTCAGCTGCGAGTGTGACTACAGACGGAGTCCACTCCATCACGGAGGGGGAGTGGGTAGGGTGTGGTTTGGAATCGGGCCAAAATCTCCATCCGCCTGCTACTGTGTGCTTTTTGCATTAAAACAATAACATATGCTGAACTGTTTGAATAAAAGGCGACATTTTAAATAAAAAACGTATTTATAAAAAGGAAGATGCTAACAAGAATGACAACTGTAAAGTAGTGATTTACTGTATCTCACTGATGTCATATCTGAAGTGGATCACAGTGAATCACAATGAGATGTTTATGAGATATTTTAGTCTGAACCAAAGTGTAGACAGACAGTAAGACATTACCATCTATCAAGCCATGCAAAATGTGTATATAAGAGAGGAAAGAGGACAGAGAGACGTACCCAGGTCTTGGAGAGTTTGAACTCTTTGACGTAGTTGAAGACTATCGCAGAGAACGGAGTGATGCCCTTCAGAAAGGGTTTCCCGTATACCACGATCCTGAGAAAAAACACAATCACAAAATAATATAGAATAAGTAAGCTAAAAGAAAACATTATTAAACATAAAAAAAAACATCCAGAATTATAGAAAACGTCCCTTAAATGTGCCTTTATTCTCTCCCCCTCCCCCTCTCTGCTACACTGAACTTATTCTGTTTTCAAATGTAAAGCATTTTGAGCGGCATGTCTTGAAGGCAGGAAAGTTGCATTTCATATACTTTTTTATTCATTGACTCATGTTATCGATACATGTACTTAGTTTAAAATACATCCTTAGTGTAAGCCTTAAAACGAAAGCAGTTTTTTTGAGAGAGTTTATGTGTTTGTACTTCTTCACTTGGTTTTCACTGTTTCTCACACACACATTTACTCACACACAGACCTACCTGTCATAAGCACAGTTAGTGTAATCCCCGACGGTGGTGTCCACTTTGTCTCGGATCAGCCAGGAGAAACCGGGCAGAGTGAAGAGTCGGATGTCTTTCTTGTTCGTTCGGGTCATATAGGCACAGCTGGCATGGAAATCTCCCAGGAACATCACATTCTATACCAAACACAAACTAAATGTGATACTTAAAGAGGACATATTTTGCTCATTTTCAGGTTCATATTCGTATTTAGTGTCTCTACTGTGACGTGTTTACATGCTTTAATGTTCAGAAAGGTCTTTATTACAAAACAAAACATTCATATAATTGTTGTTTGCTGAAGTGAGGTTGTTTGATATACAGTAGGATGTTTCATTTTGTTTCACAGACACTGATATTGTCAGCTCTGTGTTGTCACCTAGTGGTGAGTGTGTTCTTCATTTCATTTAAAGGGGCCTATCATTTCCAGGCTCATATCAGTATGTAGTGTCTCTGCTTTAAAGAGTCCTCTCCTGCTGATGTTCAGGTGTATATCAGTATGTAGTGTCTCTACTTTAAAGAGTCCTCTCCTGCTGATGTTCAGGTGTATATCAGTATGTAGTGTCTCTACTTTAAAGAGTCCTCTCCTGCTGATGTTCAGGTGTATATCAGTATGTAGTGTCTCTACTTTAAAGAGTCCTCTCCTGCTGATGTTCAGGTGTATATCAGTATGTAGTGTCTCTACTTTAAAGAGTCCTCTCCTGCTGATGTTCAGGTGTATATCAGTGTGTAGTGTCTCTACTTTAAAGAGTCCTCTCCTGCTGATGTTCAGGTGTATATCAGTATGTAGTGTCTCTACTTTAAAGAGTCCTCTCCTGCTGATGTTCAGGTTCATATCAGTATGTAGTGTCTCTACTGGGACATGTCTCCATGCTTTAATGTTCAAAAAGCTCTTTATTTTTATCATACAGCCTGTGCGGCAGCACCTCTTTTCACCCTCTGTCTGAAACCAGAGCCCAGTCTGCTCTGATTGGTTAGCCGGCCGGCTCTGTTGTGATTGGTCAACCGCTTACAGATGTCCCGCCCCTTAGCCAATCACGTACAATGTGTTGGAGCACTAGCGCTCTCCCTGTGGGAGAGAAATTCCCTCTGGAGGAACACAGGGATTTTAGCCTTTGCAGACCATTTACATGCACAGAAATCTATATGAGCCACTACAGGAAAGAGAAAACCCCAAA